GAGAAAAGGGGGGTTGGAAAAGAAACCCTTGCGTTGGGGGGGGGGCCCGGAAACCCCCCCCCCCCCCCCCCCCCCATTGATTGTTGAGCATATATTGTAAACGGTTTTATCCCTAATACATTGTAACAGTGCTTCCTCTTTGTTTTATTTAGGGCTGAGGGTGACGGTCACGTGTTTGGTAGTAATGAGGAAGACCTGGCAATAGTACAAAATACGGGACTTGTATACTCACAAATGGGGAAACAGGTGGCCACGTTTTGCTCACTCGATCTCACCAGGTAGCTTCAATACCTTTTATTATATGGAAATGATTAATATATACATTGTGTGTAATATTGTGTGATTAATATGTGTATTGTATTATGTTATTGGAAATTGTAGAATATACCTCATGTCAGACTTATATACCTTTATGTCTCCTTGATCTAAGCTAATTTAAATAATATGACATGCAGATAAAATAACAGAACAAACTCGAGTATGATGTTCGAAAGTTGGCCGATGACGGCCGCATTTATTGAAAGTCCCATTACTAAAAAGAAATGAAGCAGATTAATGATCAACATTGAATAGTGTTGATAAATGATATTTAACATAATGTGTGCGCCTGAAATATCTACATTTAAAATATAATTTCCAAACAAACAGTGCTCACATTTCAATATGTGGGGTTGCAAAGCCTGTTCTAGTGTATGAAAACAAGCGATTTTGAGAATAATCTTACTTTAAATGACGTCACTACCTGTCATTTCAGATTCCCTTTTGACCAGCAGAACTGCTGTATCAGAATGATGTCCAACGTGGTCAGGGACTCTTTGGTCAACTTGACCACTGTTCCTCACGGGTTCTCGATGGAGAAGTTCTTCACCAGTATCGAATGGGAGGTAAATTTTGTGAATATGTGATCATCATAATGTGTTCTCAAATCGTAGGCTTCAGTGGAAAGAAAATGATATGCATGGAAAGAAAATGATATACCAGATATAATTTTGCCATTTTTTTTATTTCATTCATTTGATTGTAAGTATTTACGTTTAGTTTTATATTTTTATTCTTGCGGGCGGAGGAATGTAGAAGATAGGGGAAGCGAGTATTTTTCTTTCAGTATTATAATGATTATAATGCTATGTAGCTTTGCAACACTGAATCGTTCCCTTCAGGTTCTGGATACGAAGGCGGAAGAACAGTTTGACCTGTGGGACAACCCCTTCTCCACGCTGGAAACTGAAAAGCTTCACTGGAAGGAACTGCGTTTCTGTATCCGTATACGGCGTGCAATGTCGTTCTTCACAATAGCCATGTGTCTGCCGTGCATCATACTGTGTGCGCTGTCTTTGCTAGTGTTTCTTATGCCACCGGGTTCCGGGGAGAAAATGTCTGTAGGTGGGTTGTGATATTATACAGCCAGTAAATAAGCAGGCCCGTAGCCAGGGGGGGGGGGGGGGGGGGGGCGGGCGGGGGTAGAAAAAAAAAAAAAAATTTT